TTACGGAACCCGGCTGAGTACCGCGGATGGAGGGAGAAGCCCTGGCGCCGCCGCCCTCGCTGCCGGTCCAGGGCAGCTGGTAGCTCTGCGCGCTGGTCCCGGAAGATCCCGGGCGGCAGAGGGGCGCTCCTTTGTTTCAAGACAAGCGTTCATTTTCCAAAATAATCCATGGTTTTCAGGGCTGCTAACCCGCAGCCCGTCCGCCGGCCTGCCCTCTCCCATAAACAACCACTTTCAACTCTGTGAGCTCTTTCCTCTGTTTGTTTGTTTTGTTGTTGTTTTTGAGACAGGGTCTGGCTTTGTCACCCAGGTCGGAGTCCAGTGGCACAGTCATAGTTCACTGCAGCCTCCACCTCCCTGGCTCAAGCGACCCTCTCACCTCAGCCTCTTGAGTAGCTGGGACCACTGACCACGCCCGGCTGATTTTTTTTTTTTTTTCTTTTGAGACGTAGTGTCTCTGTGTCACCCAGGCTGGAGTGCAGTGGCATGATCTGAGCTCACTGCAAGCTCCGCCTTGCGGGTTCAAGCAATTCTGCCTCAGCCTCCCAGGTAGCTGGAACTACAGACGCATGCCACCACGCCCAGCTATTTTTTTTTTTTTTTGTATTTTTAGTAGAGACGGGGTTTCACCGTGTTAGCCAGGATGGTCTCGATCTCCTGACCTTGTGATCTGCCGCCTTAGCCTCCCAAAGTGCTGGGATTACAGGCGTGAGCCACCGCGCCTGGCTATATTTTTGTAGAGACAGGGTTTCGCTATGTTGCCCAGGCTGGTCTCCTGGGCTCAAGCCATCTTCCCACATCAGCCTCTCGCAGTGCCAGGATTGTAGGTGTAAGCCACCACGCCTGGCCCTGAATGTACTTTTATAATGTGACTTTCTACTTTCTATTTATGCTTCTTTCTCCCCTCCTGTGTTCTGTTAGATTTGTTACATTTTCATCATTATTTTTCCTCTGCAGGTGTGGAGGTTATACAGTTTCAGTCGTTTTAATGGCTACCCTAGAGGTTTCACGTTGCATTTTAAACCCAGGGCATTGTCTCTAGCCATCTCCTGTGCAATGCTGGGAGTGCAGGGCCCTGCTGTTCACATCCCCTCCTCCTTGTGTGGTCTGGGGGTCCAGAGTTTGGGTTTCACTTTGTTTTTTCACCCTTGCCCAGGCCAGGCTCCCATAAGCAGATCCAGAGACAGGGACTCAAAGGGACAGATTTTTGGGGGAATTCCAGGAAGCCACCGTGGGGGAGCTGGAGGTGATGAGGGTGGGAAGGGGCCAGCCCAGGGCTAAGCAGGTGACACTGTGCAGGGGGCCACGTCTCAAGTGTTCGGTCCAATGCTTCGGCCAATGCTGTGGCCAGCCCAGTGCTCTGCCGAGGAGGCCTCAGGCAGAAGCTGCAGAGGGAAGGGAACAGCAGGAGAAGCCAGGAGCCGTGGAGTCTTCTTCCTACGGATCCCGCGCTCCAGGCCCAAGGGAGCCCTGTGGGTCCGCACCCCCCAGGTGCCGTGGCAGCACCAGGCCCACTCGACTGCAGCTTGGTTCTGCTGCAGCTCTGCCCTCAGTGCCAACCTCATGCTACCAGGGCAGGTGGGGCTCGGGGAAACTAGTGTTGCCTCTGGTTTGGGTCCTTCCAGCATTGGGGATGGGAGTGTCAGCTCTTCCTATGGAGCGGTGAGCAAACCTGCAAATGCAGAAGCTTCAGAGCAACCTCGGGATCAAACTTCAGGGGACACCCGCCTGGATGTCCCCACCAGGGCCCTGCCCGCTCTGACTTAAGTCCTGGGCTTGGGCCTCCAATTCGGTGCCTTCCTACTGCAGAGTGGAGAGCAGAGACACTGCCTGAACCACAGAGGGCCCCCGACACTCACACTTGGGCTCACCCCTGGCTTTCAAGTGCTCCTTTCTCTCCTTCAGCCATTTGTAGCCTCGATTGGCGGCAGTTACCTGGTCCACCCCCTGCCCTTCCAACTCACCACCAGTGAGTGTAACAGGTGACTATGTGGGGGCGTGTGTCTTCGTCCCACACTGGTGCCTGGTTGCAGCTTGGCGGCAGGGTGTCCACCGCCAACATCCCATCATGTCACAGCTTGGGTTCCCCAGAAGCTGACCCTGAGATGGAGTTTGGGCTAGGAGCTCCCTCTTAGGGGTCAGCCCCTGCGACAGGAAGGGGGAAGCAGAACCAGATAAAAGGGGCCCCAGACCACCTGCAGGGACCATCAGAGTCCTGCCTGTGGACACAATGACCACCTTGTGTCTGTGTGGCTCAGGTGAGGTGGGTTTGCAGCCGAGGCTGCTGCCCCAGAGTGGGGCGGGGTCTCTCAGTGTCTTCCCACTGGGGACCCCCAGTGGCAGTGGTGATGTCTGCGGTGGCCCTCTGTGGCAGAAGCAGGGGGATGTGTATATGTGTGTGTGTCTGTATGTACACATCTCTCATATACACACACAGGAGAGATGTTGAGGAATTGGCCCGTGTGATTGCACTGTGGGCAGCCTCCAGGGAAGAGCTGACGTTGCAGCCATCTGGAGACAGAATTCCTTCTTCCTTGGAGGACCTCAATCTTTTCTCTTAAGGCCCTCAACGAACTGGATGAGGCCCCCCTACATTATGGAGGGTCATGTGCTTTACCCAAAGTCTACTGATTTAAATACTTTTTTTTATTTTTTGAGATGGAGTCTCGCTCTGTCGCCCAGGCTGGAGAGCAGTGGCACAATCTCGGCTCACTGCAAGCTCCGCCTCCTGGGTTTACGCCATTCTCCTGCCTCAGCCTCCTGAGTAGCTGGGACTACAGGCGCCCACCACCATGCCTGGCTAAGTTTTTTCGGTATTTTTAGTAGAGACAGGGTTTCACTGTGTTAGCCAGGATCGTCTCGATCTCCTGACCTCGTGATCTGCCCACCTCGGCCTCCCAAAGTGCAGAGATTACAGGCGTGAGCAACCATGCCTGGCCTACTGATTTAAATACTAATCACATCTATGAAACACCTTCATGCCCACCCGTGTTCATTGCAGTAGCAGTTCCAACAGCCAAGAGGTAGGAGCACCTAAGTGTTCATCAGCAGATGAAACCGAGTGTGGTCCATCCCGAGAAAAACATTTCACTCAGCCTTAAAAAAGATGCCTGAGCACGGTGGCTCACACCTGTAATCCCAGCATTTTGGGAGGCCCAGGTGGGAGGATCATGAGGTCAGGAGATAGAGACCATCCTGGCTAACACAGTGAAATGCTGTCTCTACTAAAAGTATAAAAAATTAGCCAGGTGTGGTGGCACCCACCTGTAGTCCCAGCTACTCGGGAGGCTGAGGCAGGAGAATTGCGTGAACCTGGGAGGCGGAGGTTGCAGTAAGCTGAGATCATGCCATTGCACTCCAGCCTGGAGACAAAGCGAGATTCCACCTCAAAAAAAAAAAAAAAAAAAAAAAAGTAGAAGCAGCAGCCTATTCTGTCATATGCTACACCACAAATGAAGCTCGAGGACATTAATTTGGCCACAGAAACACAAACACTGGATGATTCCACTCCTAGGAGGTGTACAGAGTCAAAATCTTTTTTGTGTGTGTGTGTACGGAGTCTCACTCTGTCGCCCAGGCTGGAGTGCAGTGGTGCAATCTCGGCTCACTGCATCCTGCACCTCCTGGGTTCAAACAATTCTCTGCCTCAGCCTCCCGAGTAGCTGAGATTACAGGCACCTGCCACCACGCCCGGCTAATTTTTGTATTTTTTTTTTTTAGTAGAGACAGGGTTTCACCATCTTGGCCAGGCTGGTCTTGAACTCCTGACCTCATGATCCACCTGCCTTGGTCTCCCAAAGTGCTGAGATTACAGGGGTGAGCCACCATGCCTGGCCCCTGGAGTTTAATTCTTAAAAACAGAAAGTAGAAGGCCGGGCGCAGTGGCTCAAGCCTGTAATCCCAGCACTTCGGGAGGTCGAGATGGGTGGATCATGAGGTCAGGAGATCGAGACCATCCTGGCTAACCTGGTGAAACCCCGTCTCTACTAAAAAAATACAGAAAGAACTAGCCGGGCGTGGTGGCAGGCGCCTGTAGTCCCAGGTACTCAGGAGGCTGAGGCAGGAGAATGGCGTAAACCCGGGAGGCGGAGCTTGCAGTGAGCTGAGATCCAGCTACTGCACTCCAGCCTGGGTGACAAAGCGAGACTCCATCTCAAAAAAAAAAAAAAAAAAAAACCGAAAGTAGAGTAGTGATTGCCATAGGCTGGGGGAGGTGGAAGAGGGGAGCTGCTGTTTAATGGGTGCAGAGGGTCCGTTTTGCAAGATGAAAGGTTCTAGAGATCTGCTACATAACCGGGTATAGCCATTAACACAACTGCACTTGTACCTGAACGTGGCTGAGGCAGTTTTCTAGTTGTTACAGGGTTTTTCTCTTTTTCTGTTTTCTTTTTTTTTTTTTTTTTTTTTTTGAGATGGAGTCTCACTCTGTCACCCAGGCTGGAGTGCAGTGGCATGATCTCAGCTCACTGCAAGCTCTGCCTCCCGGGTTCTCGCCATTCTCCTGCCTCAGCCTCCTGAGAAGCTGGGACTACAGGCGTCCGCCACCATGCCTGGCTAATTTTTTTGTATTTTTTTTTTAGTACAGTTGGAGTTTCACCGTGTTAGCTGGGATGGTCTCGATCTCCTGACCTCAGTGATCTGCCTGCCTCAGCCTCCCAAAGTGCTGGGATTACAGGCGTGAGCCACCAAGCCCAGCCTCTTTCTCTGTTTTTTTATTTTTTTTTTTATTTTTTTTATTTTTTTTTATTTTATTATTATTTTTTTTTGAGACGGAGTCTCGCTCTGTCGCCCAGGCTGGAGTGCAGTGGCCGGATCTCAGCTCACTGCAAGCTCCGCCTCCCGGGTTTACGCCATTCTCCTGCCTCAGCCTCCGGAGTAGCTGGGACTACAGGTGCCCGCCACCTCGCCCGGCTAGTTTTTTGTATTTTTAGTAGAGACGGGGTTTCACCGTGTTAGCCAGGATGGTCTCGATCTCCTGACCTCGTGATCCGCCAGTCTCGGCCTCCCACAGTGCTGGGATTACAGGCTTGAGCCACCGCGCCCGGCCTATTTTTTTGTATTATTTTTATTTTTGTTATAGGGAATACCCCTTCGGTGATCAGAAGAGACACAAGATGGAAAATAAAGATTGGATGACTCTCAGGTCCTAGGGGTACAGGGCATGTCCAAAGGCCACACAGAGGCCGGTCAGCACCAGGAGAGCGGGACAGAGGGCAAGGACCTGGACTGCTGCTTGTACTGGGCCTGGGTATGGGTAGAAGCCTATATGGAGAGGAGAGGGGTTGACGGTGGTTGTGACCATGTTGCTCCTCCCGACCTTTGTCAGGGCCAGGGCGGGGCCGGGGGTGGGCGTGCCCTCTGCTTTAAGTTGGGCTCCAACAGCTTTGAGTTTCACTCGTAAGCCCACCAGGATGTCTGGAACCTTCAGGACTGTGGCCCAGGAATGTCAGACGCTAGAGGCCTGGGCATGGAGGAGGCAGAGCCTGCTGTCCACTGGCTGTGAGAGTTGTCGGGGAGGGGGCTTGTCCAGGGCCACGAGGCCAGTGCAGTTCTCTGTGTCTCTGTACCCAGCTGGCCAGCACTTCGGGACCCCGGGCCAGAACCCAGGATGGGCCCTGGCCTGGGTGCTGCGGCTCCTGCCTTCTGTGCCCCTGGGGGAAGGTGCTCAGTGCATGAACTGTCCCCTCCCCAGCCCAAGGGAAAGCTGAGGCCAGGGAGCAGCCAGGATGAAGGTTAGGGCCTCCCTTGGCCCCACCAGACCCAGGGCTGCTTCCCTCCAGCCCCGGCCCTGTTTGGCTGGAGGTGTCCCAGGCCGTTGGCCTGCCCTCCTCAGCATCAATCTTGCAGTCTCAGCAGCTGGCCTGGGTCTCAGCGGGAGGCATCCTGTAGCTTCAGGCTTTTTGGCAGGCAGAGGGCTGGGCTGGCGGGGGACACTGAGTGCCCCACCTGCTCAGAGTCTTCATGCCGCCAAGGGACCAATTGGGGGGCAGGTGTGAGTGTGACCCTGAGGACCCTGCCCTGCCACTGCAAACCTCACACCCCTGCCTGGGTGGGGCAGGGAGGAGCTGGACCCTGGCTTTGGGAGTCTGGTGGGTAATTAGACCCAGACAGGGAGGGGTCAGTGCGGGTCTGAGGAGGGAACACACGTGTGCAGGCGTGTGCTCCACTGTGGCGTGTTGATACTGACCAGCCTGGGCACCAGGCCCCCTCGGGAGCCAGCTTTGCTGTTCTGAGTGGAAGGGAGGTCAGGTTTCCTTGAGAAACCCCAAAATAGCCCCCAACTGTGCCTGACTTCCAGCGGGCAGCCCAGCCCCCAGGCCCTGTCTGTCTTGCCCCCTTTCCCCCTTCACCCCCAGCCCATGTCCTGCTGTCTTCTCCCTGAATGGTGGACCCTCAGCCCCTCCTGTACAAGGTGGTCAAGAGGTGCCTAATGCATTTGTTCATTCAACCTGTCCGGAGAGTTTGTGACATACTGGCACGGGGCCAATGTTGAGTCCACCAGGATGGGAGGGTGGCCAGTCTCTGAGCCACCGGGCACCAGCTGGCCAGGATGGGCCTTCAACAAGAAATCTCACTGGTAAGTGATGACAGCATGGGACCAGGGTCCCGTGAAGACCTGCTGGAGGGCCGCACCTCTGGAAAAGTAGACTCAGAGCTTGGTCCGGTGAAGAGGGAACAGCAAGGGGAACAGTGTGTGTGAGGGTCCCACCACATCTCAGCCCTTTCCTGAGGGTCCCGCCACATCTCAGCCCTTTCCTGGCCCCTGCACTCGGCCTTCGGTGCCCATCTTCAGGGTCAGGGGAAGCCCAGGCCAAAGCGGGCCGGGAAGGGTCCCTGTGGATAAGGCTGAGAGCCTGTCCCAAAATAGGGCCAGCAGGATTTCCCACCCATAAAAGGCTCTTGGAATCTGGACCCTGGGGACCCCAGGCAGCCAGGCCCAGCTAAAACTCAGCTGCCACCACTGCCCTAGCGTTCTGCCCACAGCAGCCCTGGTGCCACCACCCTGCAGAATCCTGTCAGACAACCACTGACATGGTAAGGCTGCTCCCTGTGCCCGATGGAGTCTCTAGCAGGCTGGTTGGGTAGGTTGAGCTGGAATCTGGAGGTGCGAGGACCTACCAGGGAGCCTGGGCAGGAAGAGGCTGAGGTGGAAGAAGTGGCCAAGTCCTGCTGCCACCAACACAGCCCTTGTTCCGGGGCCAGGGTGGAGCAGCCCTTTCTGGAAGCTGGCTCCCAGATGGGCAGCAGCAGTGGTGGCAGGCAGGTGTGGCCCGGTGCTGGACTCTCCCTCCAGAATGCCACACAGGCTGGAGCCTAGGACTCTGCTTCCTGGGCTGTATCCCAATCCTGGGCTGGAAGCCCAGGCCAGGGCTGGGCACCTCCCCACCCTGCTCTCAGCTTCCTTTACCTGTCTCACCTAGTGTCCATTGCCAGACTCCAGGACTGCAGCCTGGCCCGCCTGGCCCTGCAGCTCCCGCTGTTCCCTCGAATGCTGGCCCCTGCCTGTCTGGCCTTTGCCCCTGTGAGCTGCCTGGCAGAGCCCTGCTGGCCCTGCAAACCCCTGGCGTGTGACCCCTTGTCCGGGAAGACTGCTCTGCGCTGGGGGCCTCCTCTCTTACCACTCACCTTGAAAGGCTGCCAACGGAGGGATGGGTGCAGGGGTATCTCCGACCCTTCCCTGGACACAGGTGCAGAAGGGACTCCTGGTCAGGCCGGTGTGGGTGTCCCCTGCAGACAGAGCGCCTATCAGCTGAGCAGATCAAGGAGTACAAGGGAGTCTTTGAGATGTTTGATGAAGAGGGCAACGGGGAGGTGAAGACGGGGGAGCTGGAGCGGCTCATGAGCCTGCTGGGTATCAACCCCACCAAGAGTGAGCTGGCCTCGATGGCCAAGGACGTGGACAGAGACAGTGAGCTTCTGGCGGGAGTGGGGTGGGTAGCCTCGGGGAGCGGCCCTGGGTCAGGTCTTGGTGTCTATGGGGGAAGAGGCAGAGCCCATGGGGAGTGCTGTGCCCCCTGTTCCTTGCGCCCCGGCTGTGCTCCTTGCAGACAAAGGGTTCTTCAACTGCGACGGTTTCCTGGCACTAATGGGGGTTTACCATGAGAAGGCCCAGAACCAGGAGAGCGAGCTGAGGGCGGCATTCCGCGTCTTCGACAAAGAGGGCAAGGGCTACATTGATTGGAACACGCTCAAGTAGGGCCCGGGCGGGGGGCAGGCGGTGGGTGGGCACGGGCAGGGCCGATGGAGTGGCTCAGCGCCAGGCCCCGCAGGTACGTGCTCATGAATGCAGGGGAACCCCTCAATGAGGTGGAGGCGGAGCAGATGATGAAGGAGGCTGACAAGGACGGGGACGGGACCATTGACTATGAGGGTGAGTGGGCTGGAGCCCTGGGAGCCAGTGGCTGGGCCAGGGCAAGTTGCTGACCTGCCCCTCTGTCCCCAGAGTTTGTGGCCATGATGACCGGGGAGTCCTTCAAGCTGATCCAGTAGGGCGCAGCTGCTACAGTCATGGGAGGCCTGCCCGGGAAGGCCACTGCCCCTGCCCCTGCCCCCTGCCACCCACTCCCCCAGCTCTGTGCAAAATAAATGTTCTAGCCTGACTTGTGTGTGCCTCACTGTCCCAGCCAGGGTTGGGGGGCAACGGGCAAAGGCATGGGGCTGGAGAAGGAAAAGAGTTTTCCTGGCCCAGCCACAGAAACACAACCCCAGTCATTTCTGCCAGGACACCTGACACCACCCATTGCCCAGCTCAGGGCTAGGAATGCCAGCCTGAAGCCTGGACGGGGTACAGGCCAGGGACCACGCGCTCACCCTGCCTGCTTGCACTGGGGGTTGGCTGCCTGAGGGTTCCTCCCATAGCCCTGGAGTCCCAGAGTCCTTCCCACATAGGCAGAGATCACTTAAATACAAACTTTATTCTCTCTCCAATAAGATGCAGACGTCACAGCTGGCCCTGAGCTCCCACCTGAGGCTCAGGCCCAAGGGGCCTCTTCCAGGCTGAGGGCCTGCTGGGACTGGGCCAGGGGCTGAGGCTGAAAGCAGCAGCCTGCCTAGGGGGTGACGCCATGGGGCTGGTGTAAAATGACACCAAGGCTGGGGCCACAGCAATGTGTGGGATGGTGGGGTGGGCTGGGGGCCCTTGGCTCCAAGCGCTAGTTCTCGAATCTCTGGTCCATTGTCCTACCTCCTTCAAGGGGCACCAGGGCTACAAGGTGGTAGTTGGGTATTGGGGCCCGACTCCTGGGGCATTGGAGTGGTCTCTAGGCCTGAGGCCCCAAGGAGAGGACTGGGTTTCTGGGAGAGTGCTGGCCCTTCCTCTCTGGGCTTGGCCATCTTGACAGCTTCATCGTAGGAGGGTGGAGGCTCCGGGGCGTACAGACTGTAGGCAGGAGGAGTCATGGAGTCCGGGTCCAGCTCCCCAAAGGGTACGGGTAACTGCATGCCCAGTGGGTACTGCACGGAGCTGTAGGCTGCAGGAAACCAGAGTGGGTTTGTGGAGGCGGGCTTGGCATTTACCCCCGCCATCTCCACCCCCAACTCGAGGGCCCCTAGGCACTCACAGGTCACAGTGCTGTGTACAGGGCTGTCGCTGTCCACAGGGATGACCGCCAGGTCGCAGGGCTGCCGTGCTGGTGGCAGATGTGGCTGAGCCTGAGCCTGCTTCCGGAGGCAGCAGAACCGGACACAGCCGGCTGTGACCCCGCACAGCAGCAACAGGAGGACCGCCAGCAGGATGAGCCTAGAAGAGCAAGGCCCTCCCACTGGACTGACCCTCGGCCACCGGGCACCTGCACCCTGGGGAATGTCGTGGCACAACCACCGAAGACAGGTTAACAGGATAAAAAGCAGACAATGTCTCTGCACGTTGGAGACTGCCGTGGCCAAAGCCTGGCCTCCGGCTGCTGGGCCTGCCCTGGCTGTGTCTCCTGGGCTGGCCAGGGGTGGCCTTGGGCTCACTCCCAGGACTCGCTGTCCTCAGCGACTGCCCCACTGCTGAGCGGGATCGTAGGGGCTTCCCGTGGAGGCCAGGTGGGAGGGGTGGGAGGGAAGGTCCTGCTTACTCGAGGTCACTTCCCGCCAGCGACCGGGGCTGGGCGACAGCAGAGGCGGCCTGGCGAGGTTAGGGCCGGGCGGGTCTGGCCCCGGTGACCCCCGCCCCAGAACCGTCGGACGCACGGCTCCGCCGCGGGCTCCACTTACCCCACGTGCCACAGGCTGCTCCAGCGGGCCTGGGGCAGGCACCTGCGGGGACGGCGGCACCTGGAGCAGGCGGGGCATGGGCCGGCCAACCTCACCGCCCGCACCTCCCCACAGGGCGGGGCCAGGCCCCGGGTCCCTCCCCCCCCGACTTACTGGTCCGAGGGGTCGCAGCTGCCGTCCGCGAAGCCCAGCGCCACCTGTGGGGACAGGGGTGAGCCCGGGAGGGGCGTGGTCCGAGCACGGACCCGCCCCGCGGTGGCCGAACCGAGAACGCGGCCCGACCCACCTGCGGCAGCGGCAAGACCGGCAGCAGCAGCCGGAGCCCGCGGGCGGCCAGCGACCCCCGGCCCATGCTCTGCGGAGGTTGGAGCAGAGCCTGGCGGCGCGGCTTTATGGAGCCCCGCCCACCACATGACACACCCACCACATGACACGCCCACAGAACGCCCGCTCAGCGTAAACCCCGCCCACCAGCCCTCGCTCGCCGCAGGCCCCTCCCACCAGCGCACACGCCTACTGGACGCCCCACGCAGGGTAAACCCCGCCCGCCGGGCACCGCCCAGTGCAAGCCCCGTTCCTCGCAGGCCCCGCCCACAGGGGCACACGCCCACAGGACGCCCCACGCAGCGTAAACCCCACCCGCAGGTCCCCGCCCAGAGCAGGCCTCTTTCGCCGCAGGCCCCGCCCAGAGGAGGCCTCGCCCACGAGACGCCCCCACTCGCTGGACCTCCGCTCAATGCAAACCCCACCCACTGGCTCCACGCCCGCCATAAGCCGCGCCCACCAGACACCGCTCAACGCAATCCCCTCCCACTGGGCCAAGCCCAACGTGTTCAGAGGGTTTGTCCGTCCCAAGCCCTGCTTCGCAGCTCCACCTGGCCCAGAGTCGCGAGGCGACGGTAGGTCTCGCCCTCAGCCCGGGCATGGCGCCTTCACCCCGGCCGGCCGAGCGTGGCCTGCTCTGGCGCTGATCTGGGCGTGGCCCGGGAACCCTCGGGAGCTGGCCTGGAAAGTCGTGGCTGCCTTGGGTGTGGTCCCTCGGGTCCAGTCTTGCAGGCAGGCTCCAGGTGAACTGGAGGGTCACGCCACCAAGATGCTGGGCGTTCCGAACGTGGTGTTTGCGAACTGATTGTGGACCTGAGCTGCAGGTGCTGCCTGGGGACTGGCCCAGGGGGCTGCAGCCTGTCCCTGGCTCTGGGCCCTTGAGGCTCTGGGTGCAGACCACTTTCCCAAACCACTTGGCCTTGGGGGCCATGCCCCACCTGGGGAATGCGGCCTCCATTCCCGAGGGCCACAGGGAGCCCAGCACCCTTTCCTCAGCCTGCAATGTCCGCTGCTCCCCGTGCAGGGGCAGGCGGGGGCCATTTCTTCCAGCGGGACCCCTGACCCTTATCCCTCTGGCACCAGGCCAGGGGCCCTGTTAGGCTCTTGCTGCTCTCTGCTCCCCGTGCGACCAGCAGCACACCGTCCGCCGGGCGGTCAGGCTAAGGGAGGTGGTCAGCACAGCAAAGGGCAGGGTCCATCTTACTGCAAGAGGAGCACGCACCCCTTGCTCAGAACTGTTCCACATGTGGGCGCTGCTCAGTGTGCCCCACCCCTACAAGGGCAGTGACCCTGGAGGGCAGGGCCTCCTCTGCGTGGCTCTTCTGCCCATACCTGCCCCTTCACTGCATCACTCCTTCCATTTTCGGACTCTGCCTGAAGTTGCCTTTCACCTCCCAGGGCCTGTGCCATGGTCCTCAAGGGCCCTTCCTGCCTGCCCAGCTCTCCTGGCCTCTGGCCATTCTTCCCGCCACGTTGACCGCGCTGGTCGTGGAGGCCCAGCACGGGGGTGAGAATGGGAGTGGGTGTGCACCGCACTGCCTGAGACCACAGCCCCAAGTTCCGGAAGGTGAGGGTGCGGCCCCCACACAGGACCTGGGCAGGCCTCACCACTCAGTACCAGGGGCCTGCCAGCAGGAGAGTCGGGTCAGAGTTTAGAAGACAGGGGCCTACTCAGGAAACAGTGCCCTCCAGGAGCACCTCCTCCGGCGGCTGGGGCCGGCTTGAACCTGGTGGAACCTGCCTTCCCCTCCCATCTGGTGTGGCGCAAGCTTGAGCCATGGTGGGTCAGCCCCAGGAAGGGCAGCAAGGGACGCATTGGACAGAAATCCTGCAAAATGCCACTGCAGGGTCAATGTCACTGGCTTGAAGTTTGGGGCAATGGCAAGTTCCTAGGCACTGTGGGTCCTGGGGGGCTGGGGGTGAGGGCAGGCAGCTCAAGACCAGCATCCCTGAGGCCTATACCCAGGAAAGCTCCCCGAAGCACCACCTGCTCCCCCCTGCCAGGCCAGGGAAGGCTGCATACACTGTCCTGGTGGCTGCTGGTTGGGGTGGCACAGTGACTGTGCCGCACTGTGACAGGAGGGCCAGGTTGGGTGGGCTCTGTGGGGACAGTGTCCAACAAGCCAGACTCCAGAGGGCAGGGTTGGGGTGGAGGCACCACTCTGAGCTCTGGGAGCATCTCACGGGCTGTGAGGGGTCTTCTCTGTTGAAGGGTGGGTCAGAGCTCAGAAAGCCGAGCCCAGACTTATCTCAGACTAAAAGTAGAGACTTAAGTGCAGGAGCTGGGCCTCACCTGGCCCCTGCTGGGCGGAGGGGAGGGCATAAGTAGGCCGGGTTCCCGCCATCTGCTCACCTTTGCTTGGGGTCATCTGGGGTCCTGGAACTTGGGAAAAGTCTGGAGGTTCCCGGGGCCTGCCCTGGGCTTTGGAGCCCTGCCCTCCCCACCGCCCAGGGCCTCTCGGCTCTGGGTCAGCCTCAGCTCCGGTTGAGGCTCAGTACCCCGGCCCTCTGGACTGCCTGCCTGCTGCTCAGGGCGCCAGGCTTGGGGGCCCTCCTCGAATTTGCGTCAGGGTGGCCTCCCCACAGGTGTCCTGCAGGATGGCCCCGCTCCAGGAGGCCCTTGCCAGGCAAAGCGGGTTTCATGGCTGGGAGGGGAGGGGCTGCATCCCCAGGGCTCTATCCCCACCTCCCATTCAGTGCTCTGTCACCCACACTGCAGGCTGCAAGTGTTGGCCTACAAGAAGTTTATTGACAGGCTGTGGGGGGCTCTCCTGGGGGCTCTGAGGGGCTCTGGCTAGGACGGCTGTGGGCTGGCCTGGCCTTCTCGCTGGTTCTGAGTTTGGGATCTCAAGAGTGGGCGCTCTTGGATGTACCTGGGCTTGCTGGGTCCAGGGCAGCAGGAAGTGGCCGTGGCACCATGTGGAGGGTGGCCTATTGAAATCTGCCTGGCAGAGGATGGCCAGGTCCCAGGCCCCAGGATAGTATGGCCTGGCCCTCAGCCTGGGGAGGGCTTTGAGTGTGGGCAGGAGGGCCCGAGGGTGCTCTGTGCAGAGGCTTAGGGGCCGGTCACCACCTGGGCTACAAAGATGACCTTGTAGGTCTCCTTCACATCCCCCCTTAGCTGCAGCAGGGCCGACACCATGAGTGGGTGGTCTGGCTGGAACAGGACAGGAGGGGAGAAGAGGCCTTCAGCCAGTGGGCACCCGGGGGAGATCTGCTGTCTTCCCGCTGCCCTGCCCACCCGACTCCCCTGGGTCCTCCGCGGCCACCTCCTCCCCTGGGATTGGGCAGGGGTACAGCCCACCCAGCCTTTGGCGTTCCCAGGGCTCGCTGGCCTGGAACCCGAAGGCACCTACATCAAAGTCCGCAGGCGGCACCCAGGAGATACTGATGGTCTTCGTCTGGCCGCGCTCCACGGAGCCCCGGGAGGGCTCAATGGAGAAACCCTTGTGCTGCAGGGATGTGACACTGTCCAGGCTGAACTCAACGGTCTGTGGGGTATGGGGCTCCTGTAGGCTGGCGACCAGGCACCGCTCCCAGCAGCAGTGGGACTAGAGCTGAGGGTGCCCAGCTCCACTCACCCTCCCAGCTCTGACCAGCAGGCTCTCCACCCCACACCTGCCACAGGAAGTCCCAGAGAAGCCCGGCTGTGGGGACAATCCCAGTGAGGGGCAAGGCCAGGAGGGGGGCTGCCCAGGGCAGGGGAGGCAGAGGGGGCTGCCTCATGTCCCCAGGGGCAGTGCTGTGGGCACCTTCTTTGGAGATGGTTGGGTGGTCCGGATACAGCCCACCTGCAGCTCTCGGGTGGCAGGTGGGGCTGGCGTGTCTGTGTCGAACTGGACGTAGTCCAGGGCCACCAGGATGGGCCTCAGCTCCTCGGCCTCTGGAGATGGAGGGCCTGGCCGGGAGCTGGCTGGAGGGGTGTGGCCAGGGGAGCTGCTCAGGGTCAGGCTGAGGCATGGGGTGGGGCTGCAGCGGGACTCCTGAACTCTGGTTAGCAGTGGCTCTCCTGCCTGGCTCTGGGGTAGAAGACTGAATCCCTGCCCCACCCCGCTGGGTCTCAGGGCCCCCGTCCACAGGGCACAGGGCAGGGGCACCAGGAGGCCCCGTGTCTGTTCCCTCCCCGGGGAGGGGCTCACCCTCTCTGTGCTTGGGGTCAAATACGGGGATCACCATCAGAGACTCCACGGGCACGTCCAGGGGGTCCCCGCCCTCCACGAACATCATGTGCTCACGGGCGGCCCCTTTCAGCAGGATCTGGTGGGAGATTTTCTGGGGACAAGAAGTGGAGTGGCCTTGTCCCCAAAGCTCTGCAGCAGGGGCCCTGCTGGTGAGAGCTGGGCTGGCTCAGGGAAGGAGGCAGGGACGGCCTGGGGGCCCCGTGGGGCCCTGGACTCTGGTCTCTCAACCCATGACCCTCAGTGTGGTGCTGAGTCCCCCAGCCATGGTACCCTCCGGGTCTCCAAAGTGGGGCAGTGCAGCGAAAGGCAAGGCTCTGGCTGGGGCCAGGGCTGGGCCCAGCTGAACTTGCAGAGCCAGAGCCACACCTTTTCAAAGAGCACCACCTGGAGCCGGTCGGAGAAGTAGAGGCTCTCGTGGTCGGGGCTGAAGGTGACAGTGAAGTCCTGCGTCTTCCCGGGGTCCATGACGCCCTTGACGGGGGCCACGCTGAACACGCTCTGACCGTTGAGATTCTGCGTCCCTGCAGGTAGCGTGGGGTGCAGTTTGGCCTTCCCCACCTGCAATCACTGTTTGCCCTCCAAGCCCTGCTCCATAGAGCTCTGCACCCTGCCCACCCCCCACAGAGCCCCTGTCCTGCCGGGTGCCCCCCATGGCCTTGCACCCCCCGAACCCCCATGGATCCAAGTGCCCCCCATCTCACCACCCGCCCCCCATCTCACCACCCACCCCCCATCTCACCGCCCACCCCCCCCAGCTCACCGCCCACCCCCAGCTCACCGCCCACCCCCCCCACGCTCCCACCCCCCCCCCATCTCACCCCCCCCCCCCCACCCCACCAACCGCCCACCCCCCCAGCTCACCAACCACCCCCCAGTTCTCCGACCACCCCCCAGCTCACCGCCCACCCCCTCCACTCGCTGCCACTCCCCCGCTCCACCCACCCTTCACCCCGCTCACCAACCACCTCCGTCCTCTGGGCGGGCGAGCTGAGGAACTGCGGCAGCTGCTGCTGGCCCCGGGCCCGGGCGCTGGAGAGACTGTCCAGGATCACGGAGAACTTGATGGGGAGCAGGGAGTTGTTCTGCAGCTGCGGAGAGCAGAGGCCACTGTTACCGCCCGCCAGCCGCAGCCCGGCTGCCTCCTTCCTGTGGTCAGCGCCCAGGACTTGGCTCCTGCTATGAGGCCACACCCAGGTGGGGACCCCAGTGGCCTGACAACGCTGGCACACGTGGCAGTTTACTGAGCTGTGTGCCAACGTCCCTTCTTCCAGCCTCTCATCAGCCTTTGCCAGGCCGGGGCTTGGCTTCCCTGCCAGGGGCGCGTGGACAGCTCTGGGGTGCCACCTGTCCTCCAGGGCACCTGAGTCTCGCTCATGGGCACATGCTGGTGCGAAGGCATGAGGGCACACGGGGCAGTGCAGCTCGCCCAGAGGGCCGCAAACCCTTGCCCCCGGGTGGCTGAGTTGAGCTCCAAAGGAGTGAGTTCAAACAGCAGGGCAGGGGGTGGTTGGGGGAGCTCTGTGCAGGGGCTGAGGAGGAAGGACAGGGAGGTGGGGTGACCAGGGGACATCTGCAGCCTCCCCAGAAACAGGCCCAGGTCCTGCAGGAGAGGGCGGCAGAGGCGACAGCTGTGTAGAGGGGGCTACCTGTGTCCCCACAGGCTCCCCGACCCACGGGTCACTTTCACAGCTGGCCTGAGTCCTGCCTGGTGGAAACCCCTCCTGGAAGGCTGGAGCCAGCACGTGTGCTTCACCTTGAAGCCTGAGGACACAGACTCTCCGGCGATCACATAGCCCATGTTGAGGATGCTGCCTTCAATGGAGCACGTGATCATGGACGCCACGCCAGTGCCCACGAGGGTGAGGGTGAGCGTGCTTCTCTTGGTAATGATGTCCAGTGTTTCTTGAGCCTAAAGAGACCACATCCCTCGGTCAGGAACAGATATCTGCTGGAGCCACGAGGGGAGCTCTGCCTCAGGGGCAGTGGGTTCTCAATGCCGGAGCTGAGACAGCGCTGGGGCTCCATCAGCTCCGCTCACTTGCCGGCTGGCGTGAGGGCCTGGGCCAGGCTGCCCACAGACCCAGGCGTGGTCAGCTCCGGGCCTGAGCACAGGCGATGCCCGCCCCGGCCAGCGCCTTTGTCCTGCGGTGTGGGGAGCCTTGGGCCGCAGTGTGGCCGGGGTGGGCCTGGGACTCACCAGGATGCTCTCGTGGGGAGAGAAGGACAGCACCAGGACCTGGGTCTCACCCGCACGCAGCAGGCTGGAGTGGTTCAGCAGGACGAAGGGGCCGTTGGGGTTCAGCAGGGAGAAGTCCAGCTGAGGGTCCATGTCAAGGAGGGGACACGGGTGTCTGCAGGCTCCACCACACCCTCCCCAGCCCCACTCCCACCCCGCAGGCCGCCTGGGCTGGGTGGACAAGGACACGGCCAGATCCTCGGGGGAGACGTTCTGGATGGAGACCTTCTTGATACTGCGGTGCCCTGAAATGGGGCGGGGAGCGTCAGGCCCCAGCCCCAGCCCCAGGCCCCAGGGAGCACCCCTGTCAGGCGTGGGCCGTGGGGCTAGGGGAGGCATGGGTGTGCCTGGGCACCGGGTGGAGGTGTGTGTGGGGCTGAGTGTCTCACCCACGGCGACGTCGCCGAAGTTAAAGATGGTCTTGCCTTTGTGGGACGTCACCACAACAGACGGCGCCACCGTCGGGCACCACAGCTCCAGGTAGAGGGTGTTGTGGGGGCTGGGATGGGAAGGGCATGCTGAGGACAGGGTGGGTGGCCCCCTGCCCGCCCAGGCCCCAGGGTTGGGCAGCAGCAGAGGACGGTGCGTTTGCGGCTGACCACACCCCATTCTGGCCACAGCGCCTCGCACCTGAAGCTTGGCGGTTCTGACCCTTTCCTGTCTTTGACGTCACCACTGGCAACAACACAGGGAACTACAAATGTGTCAAACTTCGCCTGAAACGCTCTGACCAGAGTGGCTCGGGCAGCCTGGTACTCGTCGGAACTGGAAGGAAGTCGGAGGTGTGCACTCCCGCCTCCCCCCACCCACCATCAGCCTAGGCCGGACCCCTGCGGCTCTGCCTCAGGGTCCCGGGGTTCCAGGCTGTGGCTGTCACAGTTGTGTCTGACAAGCTGGCTTTTCCACCCTTCTCTGGCTCCTGTGGGGGCCTTGTCACTCACTTCAGGTCCTCATCAGCTGGTGACTGGGGTCTGGGGTTTGGGGCAGGTGCCTTTGGGCCCTGGATAGACAGCCATGTTCCTTTCTGGGGCCACAGGCGCCCATCAGAGCTTTCCCAGGGCTCATTCTGCACCCAAGGGGGCTGAGTGGGGGGCGGTGGCTTCGCTTCCCACCCGTGGAGTGAGGCTATGGGCAGGGGTGTCAGGCCTGGGGGAATGGGGTGGGCAGGTCCCAGGAAGGCAGCACCTGGATCCAGCTGTGTCTGAAGCCGTCAGTCCTTCCAGCCACACGGGTCATTCTGGGTAGTCTGTGGGGGGAGGGGACTCTCCACAGGGGCCACAGTGGGTCCCACCAGAGGGGCCTGGAGGGAAGCAGGTGGGGCAGCCCCTCCTGGACCCACCTGGGCTTCAGCTCCCGCTTCCGCAGTTCCAGGACGTGGGGGACAGAGACTTTGAACAGCTTGTCGCGGTTCTGCATTCGAAGAGCGGAGAATGACAGTCTGTGCATGTCCTTCTTCTGGGAGGCCATATCCTTTCGGAACTGTGGGGGAAGAGACTGGCTGTGGGGCTGCGCAGGGCCCCAGAGGCACCCAGCTGCACCCTGTGGCTCCTCTGCGGCCAGTGCAGGAACCGTGGGAGCCCCAGTTGGATTGAATGGGGACCAGAAAACCGACCGGCTCCCTAGGAAGACTGTAGCCAGTGCAGAGGGGCACACGGACCCCCACAGAGCTGCCCACAGACTGCAGCGTCTGCTTCACCAGAGGATAAACCGAGGCACAAAGGAGTGAGGAGGCAGCCAGAACTGGGGTCCCCCCCCTGTCTTCACTGCCAAAGGCTGAAGGCAAGTGCTTCCCCTCTCGTGCACGCCCAGGAGGAACCCGGGCCGGGCCAGGGAGGGCGCATCTGGAGTGTGGCAGGCAGGAGCTCTCGAGGCCGCCTCCAGGGCCGGCGCTTGCCAGGCAGATTCTGCAGGACCCTCCATGTTTCAGGTGCGCCTCTGGGGGCCTCCAGGTTGTGGGAGGGGCCCTGCATTGCATCCGCTGCACCCCTGGGTCGCAGCCCCTACTGCCCCCACCTCCAGAGCCCACCCTTCCCTGCTCCCGCCTGGCAGTGCCCTCCAGAAAGGAGGTAGGGTCTCGGTGAGCAAGCGTTTTAACCTCTCAGATGTAGCTCGACATGCGCAGTGCTTGGGAAAGGTCTACCCTGCGCTCCTGGCACACGGCGGGGGGCCCCCAGGGACTCGAGGGTAGTGGAGTTTGTTCCTGCGACAGGCCCTTCCCCTACCCACACCCCTCCTTCCCAGGCCCCACGCACGGATTTGGTCTCCATTTCTTTGTTCAGGAGTGGGAGGGCTTCCTGGCGGATCAGCTTCTCAGGCAGCACGGGCCGGAAGGCCACCTGGACCAGGCACCTCTGAGGAGAGACAGGCGTGGGCACAGGGGCTGCCACTTCTCTCCACCCCCCAGGAGCCCCTGCTGGCACTCTACCTTCCTCCGCCTGTTGACTCTTCTCAAGGTCACCGCCCCCTTGAGATTTCAGCCTGTGTGCCCCTTCGGGATGGCCCTCCCTGGCCTCTGTCCCCCAGGAAGCGGGGGCGGGCTGCAGGCGTGAGCACCAAGCCCTCTGGCCATGAAGGGTGGGGGTCCTGTGATTGGAGGTGTTGAGAGTAGAGTCCTGGGCAGGCCGGGACCCGGTCCCCTGTCCTTGGGGCAGCAGTGACAGCCTAGCCTGCCCTTTCCATCCTTGAGTTTTATGGGCGAGTCCTACATTTTGAATCACTGCATTCACTGCAATCCCATGTGAGCCAGCGGTCCCCCACGTGCCCTTCCTCACTTAGGCCTTCAGCAGCCCTCAGGGTCACCCGAAGGCCCTGCCAGGCCCAGAGCTTTCTGCTGTGCAGGAAAGGTGGAGTGTGGGTGGGAGTGGCCGACGCCCTCTGCCCCCCCCCCTCTGCCTGCGAGGTCCGCTGGTGCAAGGGACTACACAGCCTTCCCCAATCTCAACCTGGGAGCCCTGGATGGGTGCCGGCCAGGCCAGCAGCCTGGGGAGCTCCTGCCTCTCGGGGTCAGGCTGGACCAAGGGTACTGTGACCGCCCCCCCGGCGTGGGGGGCCCTAGGCCCCATGCACATTGGCCATGGATCGGGGTCAGGCTGGACCGAGGGTACTGTGACCGCCCCCCCGGCGTGGGTGGCCCTAGGCCCCATGCACATTGGCCATGGATCCGGGTCAGGCTGGACCAAGGGTACTGTGACCGCCCCCCCGGCGTGGGGGGCCCTGGGCCCCATGCACATTGGCCATGGAGCCTTCCTCGGCCCTGCTTGGGTCTGATGAGGGCCAGGTTGACTTGTGCCCCTGTTCTCCAGGTTGAAACCCTGTGGTTAAAGGTGGGCAAAGACAGACACCCTGGGGACAAATGCAGGTGGCGTGGAGCCCCTGCCTGCCAGCCGGCGTGTGAGGCCCACACCCACCTTTCCTGGCCACACGGTCCCCACCGAGGGTGAGATGGTGATAGGCGAGTCTGGGGGCAGCAGGAACTCGAAAGACGTGGGCCCCACAGGAGAGGTGTCCTCTGAGCCAATGCGGGGCTTGGAGTGGGTCCGTGAGCTCATGCTCAGGTGAGAGTTGATGACATACACTGTGGCCACGGAGGTGTCATATAGGGCCGTGGCTGCAAACTTGATCTGGTAGTGGGACAGCTCCAGGGGTGGGTGGACGCCCACAGCCCGGCAAGACAGCTTGAAGCACCTGCAAGCAGCAGCATGGGAGGCCCTCAGCCGTGCAGGGTGTCTGTGTCCCTCTGTGTCAGGTGCGGGGGCCGCTGGGTGGAGGACAAGCCCTGGGTGAGGCTCACAGGGGCATGCATGTCCCCACTGCCCGTGGGGTCACTGTGCCGCTAACAGATTTCGAAAATACAGCGTATCTTTGTGCACATTTTAGGTGGGTAGCTAAAAATTTTGAAACATATGTATTCATTTATAAATAGAGATGGAGTCTCGCTCTGTTGCCCTAGGCTGGACTGCAGTGGTGGCATGACAGCTCGCTGTAGCCTCCAACTCCTGGGTTCAAGGGCTCCTCCTGCCTCAGCCTCCTGAGTAGCTGGGACTACAGATGCGTGCCACTGTGTCATGGGTAGCTAAAAATTTAATCACAAGTTTAGATAGTTGCAAAGGAAGTTGCAAAGGAAATTTCTAGCTTATTTTGTTAAATATTTATTGACATTTTAAAAACGTTTTAAAAACGGATCTCTTTCTCTAAATGTAAGCACAGGTGTCTACGAGGCCTGTTAGGAACAAGTTGATTCCTGCCACCATCCATTAAAAAGAGGCCGGGACCTGGTTATTTTAACCTTTGGAAATTTCACATTTCATGTTTTCCTTGAATGTCTATTTCCGCTGTACTTTCCCCTTTGGTTTTTGTCCTAATCGTATGTATTTTATGCTGTAAAGGACAATACTGCTATGACATCTGTCTGTAACAGAAAGCCTTCATTCATATGTAGTAATATTCAAATGCATATTTTTATGTCCTGTGACCACAGGCTCTAAATGTTTCAAAAGTCTTTAAAGGCCAGGCGTAGTGACTCACGCCTGTAATCCCAGCACTTTGGGAGGCTGAGATGGGCGGATCACGAGGTCAGGAGATTGAGACCATCCTGGCTAACATGGTGAAACCCCATCTCTACTAAAAATACAAAAAATGCCGGGCGCGGTGGCTCATGCCTGTAATCCCAGCACTTTGGGAGGCCGAGACGGGCGGATCACGAGGTAAGGAGATCAAGACCATCCTGGCTAACACGGTGAAACCCCGTCTCTACTAAAAATACAAAAAAATTAGCTGGGCGTAGTGGCGGGCGCCTGTAGTCCCAGCTACTTGGGAGGCTGAGGCAGGAGAATGGCGTCAACCTGGGAGGCGGAGCTTGCAGTGAGCTGAGATTGCGCCACTGCACTCCAGCCTGGGTGACAGAGCGAGACTCTATCTCCAAAAAAAAAAAAAAAAAAAAAAAAAAGAGCGGGGGGTGGGGGCGGGCGCCTATAGTCCCAGCTACTTGGGAGGCTGAGGAAGGAGAATGGCGTGAACCTGGGAGGCGGAGCTTGCAGTGAGCCGAGATCATGCCACTGCACTGCAGCCTGGGTAACAGAGCAAAGACTGTCTCTGTCTCAAAAAAAAATTTTTTTTCTTAAAAAAATTGGCTGGGCGCACTGGCTCATGCCTATAATCCCTATAATCCCAGCACTTTGGGAGGCCAAGGCGGGTGGATCACCTGCAGTCAGGAGTTCAAAGACCAGCAGCCTGGCCAACGTGGTGAAAGCCCATCTCTACTGACAAAAATGCAAAAATGAGCTGGGCGTGGTGGCCAGTGCCTATAATCCCAGCTACTTGGGAAGCTGAGGCAGGAGAATTGCTTGAAACTGGGAGGCGGTGGAGGTTGCGGTGAGCCGACATTGTGCCACTGCACTCCGGTCTGGGCGACACAGTGAGACTCTGTCTCAAAAAAAAAAAAAAAAAAAAAAAAGGAAATAAAAAATTTAAAAAAATCTTTAAAAAATTAAGAAAAATTTAGGCCGAGTGTGGTGGCTCACGCCTGTAATCCCAGCAGTTTGGGAGGCCAAGGCAGGCGGATCATGAGGTCAGGAGATCAAGACCATCCTGGCTAACACGGTGAAACCCCGTCTCTACTAAAAATACAAAAAAATTAGCCAGGCGTGGTGGCGGGCACCTGTAGTCCCAGCTACTTGGGAGGCTGAGGCAAGAGAATGGCATGAACCCTGGAGGTGGAGCTTGCAGTGAGCCGAGATCACGCCACTGCACTCCAGCCTGGGCAACAGAGCGAGACTCCGTCTCAAAAAAAAAAAAAAAAAGAAAGGAAATAAAAATGTAGTGATGAGATGTTGCTGGTCTCAAATTCCTGCACTCAAGCGATCCTTCTGTTTCAGCCTCCCAAAGTGCTGGGATTACGGCCGTGGCACCCAGTGCTCAATAAAATTATTTTTTAGTGGATATATCATTGATTATTAGTAGTAGTCGATTTTTCTCTCTTTTTTTTTTGAGGAGGAATCTCGCTCTGTCGCCCAGGCTGGAGTGCAGTGGCGCGATCTCAGCTCACTGGAACCTCCGCCTCTCAGGTTTAAGTGATTCTCCTGCCTCAGCCTCCCAAGTAACTGGGATTACAGGCACCTGCCACCATGCCTGGCTAATTTTTGTATTTTTAGTAGAGATGGGGTTTTGCCATGTTGCCCAGACTGGTCTTGAACTCTTGATCTCAAGTGATCCACCCACCTTGGCCTCCCAAAGTGCTGGGATTACAGGCGTGAGCCACTGCGCCTGGCCCGACTATTCAGATATTTCTATATTTTTCTTGTGTCAGTTGTGTATTTTGAGGAATTTGTCCATTTCCTCAAAATTGTCATGTTCCCTGGTGCAAAGCCTTCATCATGTTCTCTTCGTATCGTTTTGATATCTGTTAGGTCTGCAGTGATGTTCCCTTTCACTCCTGATACTGATGGTTTGTGTTTTCTCTTTTTATCCTGATTGGTCTGGCTAGGGGTAATGAATTTTATTAAATTGTACAAGAAAGACTTTTAGTTTGTTATTTTTCTCTGTCGACCATTTCATTTCCATTGCATTGACTTCCACTCTTAGCTTTATTATGTCTTTTCTTCTACTCTCTTTGGGTTTAATTTCCTGTGTTCTTTTCCTAATGCTTGAAAAGGAAGCTTAGATGGTTGATTTTCAAACCCTCTTTTCTGATATCTGCATTAGAACAAGAAGCTTCCCAGGAGGTGCTGCTCTGACAGCCCACAGGCCTCAAACCTAACGGGTCCTAAAGGGAACCCCTGGTGGTGTCCATGAGGCTCAGTCACAAAAATACCCAGGCTGAGGGGGAAACAAGCAAAATCCAGACCAGCAGCGGGGGCCTGAGGCGCTGACCTGGGGTCCCGGTCTGTTTGGGGTTCTCCTAGCTTCAGCACTCAAAGTCCTGTGGCCTGAGAAACCCCTCAGTGCCAGGCACGCCAGCATGGTGGTCACCCTACATCTGTGCAAGGGTAGAAGTGTTTACGCTTGCACACACGTGTGTGTGTGCATGTGTGTGTTAGGTTATAGGTACACAGGTATGTAATGAAAATGCGACCCCTGGCATTCCCGACAGTGATGGGCTCTGGGGAGGGAGGGAGAACGAAGCCACCTCCGACTTGAGGAAGAATGTTTGTTTCTGTAACAACGAAGAGAAATCGGAGGCAAGTAGGATAAAAGTCTAAGGTCTGTATTTTGGGTGGAGGGTACACGATGCTGACTTTCTGAGTTTGTGGATTATCTGAAAATGGAAGGGAGGAAGAGAGCAGAGGACGCAGGGCTAAGAAAGTTGGGGCCTTCTATTTTTTTCAGCATGTCACACACACACACGAACTGCAGGGGGTGCTCTGGAGCCATGGAGTTAGAAAAGCCTCTCTTAGGCCGGTAGCGGTGGCTCACGCCTGTAATCCCAGCACTTTGGGAGGCTGAGGCGGGTGGATCACGAGGTCAAGAGACTGAGACCATCCTGGCTAGCACAGTGAAACCCTGTCTCTACTAAAAATAAAAAAATTAGCTGGGCGTGGTGGTGCACACCTATAGCCCCAGCTGCTCGGGAGGCTGAGGCAGGAGAATCACCTGAACCTGGGAGGCAAAGTTTGCAGTGAGCCAAGATCATGACACTGCACTCCAGCCTGGTGACAGAGCGAGACTCTGTCTCAAAAAAAAAACCAAAAAAAAAAAAAAAGCTCTCTGAACTGGGCTCCTTTTATTTTATTTTTCTATTTTTTATTTTTTATTTTTTTTTGAGATGGAGTCTCGCTCTGTCACCCAGGCTGGAGTGCTGTGGCACCATCTCGGCTCACTGCAAGCTCCACCTCCCGGGTTCACGCCATTCTCCTGCCTCAGCCTCCCAAGTAACTGGGACTACAGGTGCCAAAATGCTGGGATTACAGGCATGAACCACTGCACCTGGCCTGAACTGGGCTCCTTTCTGAGAGTGAGGAGGAGAGCTGGGCGCAGTGGCTCACCCCTGTCATCCCAGCACATTTGGAGGCTGAAGTGGGAGGATCGTTTGACGCTATGAATTCAAGACCAGCTTGGGCAACACAGTGAGACCCCGTCTCAAATATACAAAAAATATAAAAATTAGCCAGGCATGGTGGTGTGTTCCTGTAGTCCTAGCCACACTCAGGAGGTTGAGGTGGGAGGATTGCTTGAACTGGGGAGGTGGAGGCTGCAGTGAGCCGTGATTGCACCACTGCACTCAAGCCTGGGTGACAGAGCAAGACCCTGTCTCAAAAAAATAAATAAATAAATAAATAAATAAAATGTAAACGTTCAGAAAGAAATAATTGCACTTGAAAATGAGCAGTAGAAAAAGGTCGAATCACAGGTGACATTGTTATAAGATGAGAGAGAATGAGGAGTGGAATTTATGTAAACGGTGAAGCACGCTGCGAAGCGGTTGTGAAGGAATCAAACGCTGCAGCCTAACGACTCCACGTGCGCCTCAAAGAGTTCAGAAAGTGACACAGGGCTGGAAACTGCGACATCGATAGGTCAGAGTCACAGGGCCGTGATTACGGATGGGAGGTGCAAAGCACTGAGCACCGAAGGCGGCTGAGGGACAGACGACTGGGCGTTAACGCACCCCGGAGAAGGAGCCAATGTGGCTTTTGAAGTGGTCTGGTTGCCTGACTAGCCCGGAGGTCCTGCTGCCAGTGAACTTGCAACACAGAACAGAGGAACACGTGAACTGACACCACGGGACAGCATCCTACCTGTGGCAACTCCACAGAACAAACCTGCCCGGCTTCTTCGATAAATACATTTCAAGGACCCACAGAGATGGAGGGAGGCCCCAACGGCCCAGGTCAGTAGGACCCAAATGTGGGTGATTGTTTGACGAAGGCACAGAGGAATTCTGGGCAGGATGGAATCTTTTCGACAACGAGGCTGGAATAATTGGAAGCCTCTGTGCAAAAAAATGAACCTCAACTCGGCTCACATCTGAAACAAAAGCGATCAAATGGACCACAGACCCAGCTGTGACTGCCCCCCAGTGTCTTGGCCTCTGTCCCAGAACACATCCCTGGAGACTGATGGTCCCAGCAGCAACGAGAACCCATGCAGGACCACGGCCACTGCTTCGGGTCCAGTTTCACCTCTCCCCCTACCACCTCCTTATCCCACTCTCAGGCTCAGGGAGGTGCAGAGACTGGCTGATCGCACAAGACGTCAGAGGATGCAGGTCTTTACACCAGGTCCACCTCTGGACACAGGTCCACCCACATAGAAACACACTCACATGCATGCTCACACATACACGCACTAACCTTACACACCCACATACATACGCTCACACACATACATGCTCACACACACACATGCTCACTCGTGCTCACACTCATGCAAGTTCACACACCCACGTACATGTACTCACACACACACTCACCCCCATACGCTCACATACCTGCACTCACACATTCATGCAATCACATATGCTCACACACATACACTCCCACATGCTCACACAGTCTCACACTGACAAACATGCACTCTTGCACACACCCATATGCACTCACACCTACTACGGTGATACGCCTGTATGCGCACACATGTTCATACACTCACACAAGCACACTCGCCTGTCCTCACACACACGCTCATATACATGCACACCCAGGACACACACACGCACACACGGCTGAGTGGGCCCAGAACTCAAGGCTGCCCAGGTCCCAGGCCTGTCTGCACCCAGGCTTGAGGTTCCTGCCGGCCGGCAGTGCTGCCCAGCACAGCCCTGTGGTCAGCCAGGCAGGTGGGGCCAGAGGCAGGGATGTGCTGCTGGGAAGGTGGCCCCTCCCGAGCAGGTGCTCCAGGCCCACTGCGTCCCTCTCCCTGGAAGGCTCACCGGTTGATCTCAGACTTGCAGGTCAGCTTGAAGCTGTGTTCCTCGGCCTTGGTGGGCTGGAAGATCACATCAAACTGCAGCGTTTCCAGGGGCAGGATCGTCCCAAACCCATCGTTGGGCTGCACATCCACAAACTGGAAATGGAAGAGTGCTCTGAGGGAATGTCATGGGGAGACCACATGGACATATGTGCAGCAGGGCTGTGAGTGTGAGTGTGAGAGTGTGAGAGATTAGTGTGATTGTGTGTGTAAGAGATTAGTGTGATTGTGTGTGAGTGAGTGTGAGTCTGAGTGTGACAGATTAGTGTGATTGTGTGAGAGTGAGATTAGTGTGATCGTGTGTGAGCAAGTGTGAGTGTAAGAGATTAATGTGTGTGAGAGCAGATGTGAGTGTAAGAGATTAGTGTGTGTGTGAGTGAAACAGTGTGATTGTGTGTGAGCAAGTGTGTGTGTAAGAGATTAGTGTGATTGTGTGTGAGTGTGAGTGTAAGAGATTAGTGTGATTGTGAGCGAGTGTGAGTGCAAGAGATTAGTGTGATTGTGTGTGAACGAGTGTGAGTGTAAGAGATTAGTGTGATCGTGTGAGTGTGAGTGTAAGAGATTAGTGTGATTGTGTGAGCGAGTGTAAGTGAGTGCAAGAGATTAGTGTGATTGTGTGTGAACGAGTGTGAGTGTAAGAGATCAGTGTGATTGTGTGTGAGCGAGTGTGAGTGTAAGAGATTAGTGTGATCGTGTGAGTGTGAGTGTAAGAGATTAGTGTGATTGTGTGAGCAAGTGAGAGTGAGTGTAAGAGATTAGTGTGATTGTGAGCGAGTGTGAGTGCAAGAGATCAGTGTGATTGTGTGTGAGCAAGTGTGTGTGTGAGTGAAAGAGATTAGTGTGATTGTGTGAGCAAGTGTATGTCAGTGTAAGAGATTAGTGTGATCTTGTGTGTGAGTGTAAGAGATTAGTGTGATTGTGTG